ATTGTACTATTTATACCTGAATTCACTGCCCTGCTTCAAACTCAGGGAGTATTTGGATATACTCCTTTTTCTTCAAGTTCAGAGGTGGCCCTGGGACCCATCCATGCACACATCCCTCTGCCATTCTTAGAACATAACTAAAAATGCTACAAAGTCATCTCAACTCTGCCTGCCACTTCTCCTTCTCCTCTGAAAGCTGAAATATTTGTCAGTATTTTGACTGATAGTTCACTTACTCCATGCTTGTGACATTCTCTTGAAAAGCACACCGAGTTAGTGGATATGTATGTTTTTGGCATCTGAACTCTCAATAAGGAAGCTATATCAAAACCAAAACTGTAGTTCTGGAGCCTGCTTTGCCCTGATACTCAACATCAGCAAAGGTAGATACATGAGGAAAGTTGCATTGTCTCATCAAAGAAGAAAATATATATGTTATTAATGATATATATATACATATAACTTTGCAAGTCATAGAGTGTTATATGTTAGATATCATTAGCTATCATTGACTAACATTATTATTATTATTATTATTATTCCCTATGAGACCTCTTATTCTAGTACCTCCCCTGGAAATTACTTTGTATTTATTTTGCATAAACTTATATATGTACTAATTACCTTTTCAGATTGATTGTAAGTTCCTTGAGGGCAGGGACTGTTTCATTTTTATCTTTGTACCCCTGGAAGGTAATAGAGTATCTGGCACATCCTAAGTACTTTATCCATGACAATTGATCGACTATTAGCTATTCAGAGTCAAAATTGTATTCAGGTGTGTTGTTTGAAGGAATGAAGGGAAGAAGAATCAAGTTATTTCCTTTCAAAAGCACTTTTCTTCTGAAGGTACCAATGGACATTGAACATATTCTTTAGAGTGAGGCAGATCAGTGCTTGTACTTAATTCCTCCTTCACCAAGCCACTTCCTAGGAGGACCTGAGGTCTTCTTTCCTTTTTTTCCTCCCCCTCTCCCCCCTTGCTCCCTCTCTTTTTTCCTTCCTTCCTTCTTTCTTTCTTTCTTTCTTTCTTTCTTTCTTTCTTTCTTTCTTTCTTTCTTTCTTTCTTTCTTTCTTTCTTTCTTTCTTTCTTTCTTTCTTTCTTTCTTCCCTGAGATCCCACAAGTTTGCTTGAAAGCAATGATTTATGCTGGAATACTCTAGTATACTGAAAGAGAGAAGACAGCTTCAAAGTGTACATTTTAAGTAAACAGTCATTGTTTATTCATCTAGTAAACTTTTGTTGATTGTTGGAGAGGCTGAGAGAAGAGAGGCACACTAATCAATTTTTGGTAGAATTACAAATTGGCTCAAACATTCAAGAAAACAATTTGGAATTATGGGAGAAAATGTGCTAAACTCTGTATAACTTCAACTGTGGAGTCCTAGTATTTGGCATATTCCTTCAGAATTTAAGAGACTGAAAGAAAAGTCCCACATTTATTAAAATACAACAACAACAACAACAACAACAAAACTTGGAAGCAAAGGGGTACCTATGGATTGAGGGATGATTGAATATATTGTAATTTATGAATATGATAGAATACTATTATACTGGAAAAATGACAAATAAGAGGAATTCTGAGAAACTTGCAGGGACTGATGCAAAGTTAAGTGAGCACAACTCAGAGAAAAAAAACACACAGTGACTAAATAATGAATGGACAGCTAGGTGGCACAGTGGATAGAGTGCCAGGCCAAGAGTTAGGAAGACCTGGGTTCAAATCTGGCCTCAGACACTTACTAACTGTGTGATCCTGGGCAAATCATGCCACCCTGTTTGTCTCGGTTTCTTCAACCGTAAAATGAGCTGGTGAAGGAAATGACAAACCTCTCTAGCATCTTTGCGAAGAAAACCCAAAATGTGGTCATGAAGAGTTGGACGTGACTGAAAACAACTAAACAACAAAAATAATAATGTAAATGAAAACTAAAAGGTAGCCAAAATCAGATTTATTGTAATTGCTGATTTTGGTTCTAGAGAAAAGCTGATGAAACATATTTCCCTCCTCTTAGTAGAGAGAAGGGGACTCTGGGTGCTATATGTTGCCTGTGCTATTAGATTTGGTTGCTATGGTGTTGATGCACTGTTTTTCTTTGTTTTAAGAGAGGGTTAAATTGGGTGGTAGGGAGGTAGCATTTTGGAAAATAACTATTATATAAAAACAAAAAAAAACTCCATAAGTGAAACATAAAAATGTGAGTGTCCAATGTGTTTTAGATACTGTGGGGAATACCAGGAAGAAGACCTGGTCCCTGCATCATAGAGCTGACATTCTAGTAGTGGTAGACAAACCATATATATGAGTAATTGCCAATCAAGGCAGTGTGTAAGAGTGCATTAGGAACAGTACAGCATGTTAAGGGTTTAGAGGAAATGGGGTTCACTTTCCATTGAAGGAGAGTCAGGGAAAGTTTCATGGAGCAGGTGATATTGTGAGTCAAGACCTTGGGGAAGTCACTTCCTTCTCTGGGCCTCAACCTTATCATCTGTAAATTGAAGGGATTTGACTATTCGACTAAGGCCCCTCCTATCTCTAAATCTTTATTCACACGATGCTTTTTGGTAAAAATGGGACAATCAGAGCTGGGGGTGGTGGTAGGGACAAATACCTGAGCAAAGATATGGAAGCGGAAGAATGCAAGAAATGATTGGGGAAAGGTAAGTTTTAGTACAATGTCCTCATCTCTTATACCTGCTTTAAGAAGCTTTCATAGAAGAGACCTAATTGCTAATTACCATTAGTAATGGTAAGAGTAGTTTTTGGATGAACATATCAATTTGTGCATAAGGAGCATGAAGGGAAAGAGTGGGAAATACAAACTAGAAAAATAGGATGGGATCAAGTTGTGAAGGAATCAAGAAATAACAAATACTGAAAAAAAAGTAGCTCAATGTACTCACAGAGTGGTTGGGGAACTGGAAAGAGTAATGATGTGGCTTGTAATGTTCATATGTCAAACCAAGATATAACCAGGCTTGTATTTCAGTTCTCGTTTTTAGTGCAGAACTCGTTGTACTTGATTCTGCTGCATGAATGAATTTCCTTATAATGATGATGATTCAAGTAGTATTTATATAGCTGTTAGAGTTTGCAAATCACTTCACAAATAAGATCTCATTTTGTCTTCCCAACTACCTTGTGAGGTAGGTGCTATTATTATCCCCATTTTATAGATGGAGAAACTGAGGCAGGAAGAGATTAAGTAACTTGCCCAGGATCACACAGCTAGGACTAGACTGAGGCCTAAGGCCATATTTGAAGTTGGTTTTCCTGATTCCAAGTCCACCAGTAAGTCTAACACTCTATCCACTGAGTCATCTCACTGCCATGGTGTGCATATATGCCATGGTGTGCGTATATATCTTTGATTCCTTTTGTGTAATATTGGGTTGACGGTCCCTGCTAGTGAAAGGTGTGTGTGTGTGGAGGGGGATAGGGAGTTGAATTGATCAGAGACAGTTGTATTAACATATCTGTTTGATTCAGAATAATTTGAACCAAAGAAACTTTTTAACCCAGGTCATTCTGGCTGCTAATCTTTCCCAATGTATGTTATGGGTGCTTGTCTTTTTGCAAACCTATAATAGCCAAGGTTTAAAAAAAAGTTCCAAGAACTTGCCCTCTACAAAAGGAGAAACTCAACTTCTGAAAATAGTTTCTTAGTTTGTTATCCTGATAAATAATTATTGACTGACAAAGATATCATCTCAGATGGAGCCAGTTAGTTCCCCCCAAATCTATGCTTTCCATGTTCAGAATGCCTGAGTTCAGAATGCCCAGGGTCAAGAGCTGATTCCTGGGATGATGAGGTTACCCAGGGAGAGGTAGGAAGGTTATGTCAGTGCAAACAAGGCTACCTTTGGTCCCTTGCTTTTTCAGCTTTGGCATTTTCTTTCAGGTTGGTGTTGCAAATAAAACCTTGACCTCAAATGTCAAGTAATTGTGTGTGGGAGCTGGAGTAGGAAAGAGAGAGTGCAGTGCTGGGGGAGATAGTTTGCTTTTTAAGTGAGTGATGCCAATAACCTGTCAAATAAAATTAAGGCTCAAAACATAAAGCTTCATATGTTACTTTGCTGGGCTTGGAGGCCATCATTCAGATGGAATACAATTGATTTTATTTTGACAGAACTCAATGAGCATTAAACCGTGAGAGTCACTATAGTGTTCAGGATTTAACAAACGTTCCCTGTAATTTGCAATTTAACTAAAACCATGTCCTGGGTTAGATTGACAGGTCTTGATTTCTTGCCCATCCTACCCTCATCTGTGGTCTTGTCTCTGCTGTTATTGCCTTCATTTCTTTATTTTTTCTCTTTTTTTTTTCTCTTTCTCTTTTCTGGTTCTCTTCTTTGCCTTCTCCCCTTTGCTTTCACTCCTCCTTTCTCTATTAATTTCTTCTCATGGTAGTGGCTAGTATTCTGGACTTGGACTGAGGAAGACCTGAGTCCAAGTCTTGTCTCTGCAGATCACAGGATCATGGAACTAGAAATGAGAGGAATCTTAGAACTCATCTAGTCTGACCTCTCTATTTTACATATGAGGAAATAAAACCAAGAACTCAAGTGAATAATCCAAGATCACACAAGTAGTAGGAGGAAAGCAGAGCCAGGATTTAAACTCAGAACCTGTGATTTCTAGTCTTATGTTCTTTCTTCTGCACCGTCCTGGGTTCAAATTTTGCTTCTGACAGTAACATGTGACACTGGCTAAGTCTTTTAACATCATTGAACTTCAGTTTCCTCACATCTGTGGTGATTATAATACTTACATTGCCTATACCAAGGCCATTGTGAAGATCAAATTAGATACTAAAATGATTTGCCAACTTAAATTTGCTATAAAATTTCAGTTATTATTAAAAAATGTGATGGAATTTTTTAAAGTTATTTTTTCACAGGGTATTATTCATCGCTGTCCCTAGTGATGGAGAACTAGCTGCTATAGAAACCAACAGTGAATGAGGATGTGTGTATCTTGGTCTTTGTGATACAGGTGGGGAAATGGGAGAATCAGACCCTGAGCTTGACACATTCCGTGTGGCCGAGGTATAAATCGTTTGCCGACTGTGAGCCAGATGACAACCATCTAAGCATCGTCACTCTGGAAGAAGCTCCATTTGTCATTGTGGAAGACATAGACCCGTTGACTGAGTCCTGTGTGCGAAATACTGTGCCGTGTCGGAAATTTGTTAAAATCAAGTAAGAGGAAAAAATCCCTATTGGGAAATACTTCAATATAATTTATTTACTATACCAAATATGGACAAATGCTATTCAGTAATGCCTATTTTGTGGATTTCAGTATAGTACAAAGAATGATAACCCTAGGAAATGTGGATTCTAGTCCTATTTCTTTTAATTAGTTCTTTACCTTCTGAACAGGATATTTCACAAAATAATGGGATCATAAACTTAGAGTTTTCCATGTGTCCTTAGAGATCATCTAGTCCAACTCCTTTGTTTTACAGATAAGGACATGTAGGGTCAGAGAACTAAAGTGACTTGTATAGGATCCCATAGCTAAGAAGTAACTGAGCTGAGATTTGAATTCATACTAGCTCTATCCTGATTCATGAAAAAATTTTCCCCTAATCCATTTGGGTTTCTGATCTCCTCTAAACAAAGTTACAAAATAAAATATAGTAAAGTACTGTTAGCGAGGTTATAATAAACAAGAAACTGCTCTTTGATTTCATTTGATCCCAAATCCAGTGTTCTTCCCATTATGTTACATGGAATTTCCCTAGTCCTCAGTTTCCCCATTTGTAAAATGACCTCTGAAGCCCCCTCTAGCTATGATCCTGATTCTATGAAGTCTTTCCCAAATCAAATATTTTATGGTTTTAATTTCCAGGTCTTTCCAACAGTAGATTATTCAGGGAATAGAACTTGACATCAGTTGAGTCTAAGAGAGAGTTCATAGTTGAAACCGTCCTGGTTAAGAATCAAGGAAGGCCCATGGTGGGAAAATTCCCCTGCAAAGAGGACCTAGGAGTATTGCATGGTGAACCAGAATTGGTAGCTAGAAACAGCAAGTGCTAAATTGTGGGGATGAACGAAGGAGTGACGTCCCAATGGCAAGAGAGGTTAAGTGCCCAATAATACTGTAGAGAGAGTGCTTCAGTTTGATGTTTTCTGGTCCTTTTAAAATGGTACCTTTTTTTCATACCCAGCCTTTCATACCTTAGCTCTTGCCACCATTGTCCATGTTATTTTCCATCAAAATATCCAGCTCTAAGCAAGGTGAGATAGTTTACTTTCTAATCAACCAATCAGCCAATTAAAAAGCATTGATTTATTAAGTGCTTACTATGAGTGATGCATATGCTAGATGCTAGGGATACAAAAAAAATCTGGACCCTTTCTTTCCATAAGGAGGGACAATATGTAGACCTATACACACTTATACACACTACATACCCAATAAAGTAAGGTAATTTGGTGTAGGAGGCACTCATAGCTAGAGGGACTCAAAAAGGCTCCACATGAATTTAGCATGTGAATTGAAACATAGAAATACCTTAAGGAGGATCATGGCATAGTGGTTTTAGGACTGGAATTGGAATTAGGAAAACTTGGGATGGAATGCCACTTCTACTTGTACTAGACGAGTGACCCTTGTCAAATCACTTATTCTCTCTGAGCCCCAGTTGCCCCATCTATAAAATTGAGATAATAACAACACTTACCTCACAGAGTTACTGTGAAGATCAAATGCAATGATGTCTATAAATTATTTTGCATATATTAAAGTGCTATAAAATATGAGCTCTATTCATTTTACATATGAAGATAATGATGTTTTGCAAGTTGAAGTGACTTGTCCAAGGTCACATAGGTTATAAGTAGCAGAGATGAGATTTGAAACATTTTAAGTTTTTAAACCTTAAATAGTCACTAAGATTTGGGGGACACCCTGTCTATTGCTGTTTCTACTACACCCTGCTCTCTCCTTCATTTCCCTGATCCTTTGTGGTGGGATTTAGTTCTCAGTTTTGCTCCTAATTTCTCTTCTTACCAACACTGGAAGACAATGGATTTTCCCCTGGAAGAATAAGCATGCCCCTTATTTTCAAAGAATCATCTAAGATAAAAAAAATCAAGTTGTGCAATGTAAGTCATTTTGGCACTGAACAGGCTGCCTCCAAAGCAAATTTACCTGCAGGAAATGTAATCAATTTAATCCTTGTTTACATTGGGGGACGAAGAGATTCCAATTGTTCTTAACACTCCTAGACAAGGCAACACTTTTGATTATCACTTGGATACCTTATAAGTAGCAAGTATCCAAATGGAAATAGCATAGCAGGCAACAATCTCCTCATCTAATGGCCAGACTGGAATTTAAACTTATTTAGCTGTTTATATTTTTGGGTAGGAAAATAATTTTTTTTCCAAAGGAAGCTCTTACCTGGTGCTCCCTCCCTCCCTTTCTTGGTACATATGTGAATAATGATCTAGTGATCTATTTAGATTTAAGAGAGTGGCAATTTGACTCTATTAATCTGAATTCTGAAATGTTTTCTCACCATATAAGACCAGACCACATTCCCTATAATTTTTTGTTACTAAAGAGCTACATTCTACCTCTCTCTCTCTCTGTCTCTCTCTCTGTCTTCCTCCCTCCCTTTCTTTCCTTCCTTCCATCCTTTTTTCTTCTTCCTTTTCTCTTTCTCTCTCTCTTTCTTTCTTTCTCTCTCTTTCTTTCTTTCTTTCTCTCTCTCTTTCTTTCTTTCTTTCTTTCTTTCTTTCTTTCTTTCTTTCTTTCT